CCCGTCCACGGTTCAACTTTGGAAATGATCATGCAGACAATGGACCCCGGACTAGGTGCGTTCCAATGAGTCTTCCTACCAAATATGACCATGTTGCGAAAACAAGGTCAAACAACCACTATACAACGAAAGGAGACTGCGACCACACAAAAAGCCACACCATCTTGATCTTCATACCTGCGATTAAAAATATTGTTTCTTATTTTTTATTATGGTTATAAGTTGATTCACATCTTCTCTCTTATTAAGAGTTATTATCTTTATGTTTTATCCATTTCAATTTTCTTTTTAGACCAGACCAATTTATTGATCAGCTAATAACTCTTGTCGCTGAAGGCTTGCTTTGTGATAATCCAGACTCTTCTGTTCTCTGCCCATCCGATTTGTCTCGAAAACTCTTTACTTCCGAACTCATTATCTACCCTGCTCTCGAGGAGTTGGCTTGCCTACTTCATTTCGACCTCGGTTGTTTGGCCAGTCATCTGATCTGCATGCGACTCCGATTACCCCTGATCAATTGGCCTGGGTTGCCAGATGCTGATAGTCCAATGCTAAAAGACTCAGCCGGCTCACTAACACCCGGCGATACCACTCAGCTAGGAGTTACACTTTTGCTTGAAGGTAGCATGACTGAGGACGCTTTCGACCATTTCTCCGGTGACATTACGCTTAACGAGACTCTTCCACAGCACTCTTTAGTGGTGACCCGATCTCAGACGAGGGGTTTCCAAAATGATGATTACGCCAACTCAAGTTCGTCCTCATTTGAGCCAAGCCCTGTGGACATGGCCTACATCGAGCTACTACTCCAGCATCCTGAGGCTCGGTTACATCTTCTGTCACATCTGGCTGCCGGAGTGTTGTCCGACGAACAGGGCGGTCTTGATAGCTGGGGACCCCGGGCTCGTTGGCGGGCCGCACGATGTCTTCTCTCCAACTGGCGCTTCAATCAGGTGGCCCAAGAATTGACAAATTTTAGCCATGTCACCATCAGTGCTCCTGCTCTTCGTGGCCGGCTCCTTGAACTGGTCTGGAAAGTGCACCTTTTAGACATCCGTTTTCCTGGGAATCTCGTGTCTGATTTGCTTTCTGGTCCTGAAGCAGGCATTCATGTGAATACTCTTGAGGTCACTCGGGCAGTCCTAACAGACCGTCTAACCCATTTGCTGAATGAAACTTCCCCTGTATCTACTATGCGGATGGAGCCTACTTCTATCGCCCGCAAAGTAAGCGAATTGCATCTACTTGCGACAAAATTGGCCATTGACTACCAGTTAACGGATGCCAAGCTGGCAACACACCTCCTCACTTTGCTGATGCAACCCGATCTCGTGGCACCGCTTCTCACTGCTCGCCTACTCTACCATTTCCTTGTTGCGGCTTCCTCTAATACTGGTGGGTCATCGTCATCTCTATTGCATGTAAGCATGGCCTGGCTGCGGAACCTTACCTTAGGGACAGGCGTCGAACAATTACAACCGGTTGACTTGTCTTGTCTTCTCGCCACTCTCGGTCATGGACTCCCAGCTTTGAAACTACGTGATCTTCTACTCCAACTGACTCTGGCTTGGCCACTATTGTCACGACAGGCAGCGGCGACCACTGTCCCTAGAAGTGGCTTACGCCATTTTCCCCATTCTGTAACTGCTCTCATCGATCATCTCTCTGCTGGACATCTAGAAGCTGAACGTACTGGGTCGACAAGTACTAGTGGCTCGTCAAGACGGCTATGGGCTGGTGTATTGTCTGCTGGCTCCGGTGAAACGACCTTTTCCAAACTAGTTCGTCTTCTTACCGAACTTCTCGTTCGACGCCACTGCCTCCCTTGTGCTAACCAATGTGTAAGTCGAGCACTTGGGCGCCACTGATTTGCTTCACTGAACGAGAATCTGTTAATCAGTTTTGATTGATTGAGACGGCTTGAGGGATTTCCACAATTTTCTAAATATGTATCTTGAGTTATAGAAACAACCCTAACTTCTAGAATCTTAGCTACCACTTTTGTTGATTAACATTTTGAAAATCAGTATTCTTTTAATGTTAACTGCTTACTGCTGCTTCCCATCAAGCAGTTTTTCCTGCTTATTCCATAGCTCTTTAAATGCTTCGCCTTTTCAACGATTTACTCTCAAGTATATTCATTTTTATATTGCTGCTGCTTTTCTACGTTTCTGGGGTACTAAGACATATCTCTACGTTGGTTATGCTCTCGAGTCCCTTACATAAGGGTTTTATGACTGATTATGTTGCTCTAAAACACAATTAGTGACTTAAATTACTCCTTTATTGACTAAATAAATAGTACATGAGATGTATTAACTTTATTTTGTATGAGGTGATATAGGACTACTATTAAAATTCGCCCATAATTATATGAGTGGAGCTGACGTTTCCATTGCATTTCACACAGCTTTACTTTTCCAGAAGTTTCGACCTCGCCTTGGTCTTATCAACACCCCTTGCGTAAGTCGAATTTTGACAGTGCAGAATGTGAGCTTGATACGTTAACCATTTAGGGTTGTTAAGACCTAGGCGAG